GAACCCGGCCTTGGGGCGGCAGGGAGAGTAAATCTGGCCCTGTGTGCTTTGCGTCTCTTTTCCTGCTGCTTGATGTGATGCAATCTCCATTTCTCAAGACTCCATATGCCATCATGCATTGCTTCCAGCAACCGATGACAATGTGACATTGTTCACACGTTGAGGTGCAGTGCAGAAGGCCGGCAGAGAGAAGATCACATTCACTTGTCACTGCATCCTGTGGGCATCTTCAATACGTTTACAATCGCCTTCATCGATATGGTTATTAGGAGTTGGGATGGGCCTGCTCCCTATCAGCATGTTTTTTTTTCTTCACTTACCTTCGGTGCGGGAGAGCAGCGGCAAGTCAGCGCTGGTCCTGTGGGAGGAGCTCCAGGTGGGGGTCCTAATTTAGCTGGCCGGCGACTGCCTGAGGTGCCGCGCGTGTCGGGATCCTCTGGCAGTCGCCGGCCAGCTAAATTAGGACCCCACCTGGAGCTCCTCCCACCGGACCAGCGCTGACTCGCCGCTGCTCTTGCGCACCGAAGATAAGTGAAAAAAAAAAACACAGCGCAAGCATCGGGGCATTTTGACAAGTACAAGTACTTGTCACAATGCCCTGTTTTTTCCGCCCTCACCCTGCAGCGCCCTCAGGCGGCCGCTTGCCTTGCCTTGCGGTAGCGCCGGGCCTGAGTACTTCAGAAATAGAAGTTTCACTTCAAATAGAAATACAGTTTCAGTATTTGACCAGATATAGATATCCTTGAATAGTGTCTTCAGGTCTTGGGTGTGCAGAGCGGTAAAAGTCGGCAGACGAATTTGTTTCCTCTAAACATCTAAAAGTATCAAAAAGTCACCTAATCAAAACAGAACATTTTGTTGGATTTTCTCCTCAATTCAATTCATAATGGAATGTTATAAAATATAATCTGCATATTAATCATCATTTGTTTGTATAAAACGAGCCATTTAACCAGATAAGAATTCCACTCGATGAGCCCTTATAATATCATCTCATCTGTTGTCTCCAATATTGATATTTCAACATTAGAGACCATGGAACTTCGCAGATACTTTGTAATGGGTTTCCTGGACTTCAGTGTTCTGCAATGCTCTATACACACAGGTTGTGAGTGGTTCTGTATATCACCTGTGTGGTGGAGGATTGATGAGGGGATAAAATGTGACGCAGCCATGGTGGGAGAGGTCAGATGTCTGTTCCTCTATGAATGAAGAAACATATCAGGTACAATCAGGGCAGCCATCAGGCCGATACTCATGTAAGGGGCCCAGGCAGCCTGGGGGGGGGAGGAGTAGGCGGAGGCCTGGCCCTAGCAGCGCAGGGCCCCAGCATTGCCGCTCCAGCGGCTTCGAGACAAGCTGGGGCCACATCAACGATGCTGCTCGTCTGATGTCGGACTAGCCGGAACTGACGTCACGTTAGTGACGTGACATCACTTCTGGCCTGTCTGGCGGCAGACGGGGCCACGTGTGCAGGTAAGAGGAGGTAGGAAGAAAAGGGGGGAAGGGAGGGATGCTGCCCTGACCAGCCCACCTGAGACCCCTTCAGAGCCCACCATAGACAGTCTCAGATGGGCTGTGCAGCATCTATGGTGGGCTCTGCAGGGTCACTCTCAGG